CCTCAAAGGGCCGGCGGGCAACGCGGGACGGGGCTGGGAGGGTTCCGCGGGCACCCGCCAGGCCCTGCTCCGGCCCGCGGTAAAAGGAAGCCGGGGGGGAAGGCGGCCGGGGGGGGTCCCGGTACCGCGGATGGGGCTCCGGAGGAACGGCCGCGCAGGAAAAAGAAGCGACCGTCCCTGGGTGGGCTCGAACCACCAACCTTTCGGTTAACAGCCGAACGCGCTAACCGATTGCGCCACAGAGACCGCGCTGCCGCCGCCGCCGCTGCGCCCGCTGCTGTGGGCAGCGTGGACCGCCCCGGTGCTCGCCGACACACGCCGCTCCCGTCTCCCGTGTCCCATGTCCCGTGTCCTGTGTCCCTCTCCCCCCCACTCCAACCCGCCGCCCCGCCCGGTGGTCGCCCCGGCCCTACCGGGGAGGGGGGGGGTGTCACGGGAGGGGGGGGAAAGAGCGCTCCCATGCAGCCGAAATAGCTCAGTTGGGAGAGCGTTAGACTGAAGATCTAAAGGTCCCTGGTTCGATCCCGGGTTTCGGCAGCCGCTTCTTTTCCTGCTGGGACTCGGGCTGCAAAACCGGCTGCTAGCTCTCCCTTAACCCCCCCAGCCCGGGGCTGCCAGGTGTCGGTGAATGCACGGCACAGGCACCCTCCCCAAACGGTGCTCCAAGTTGTTTTAATGTCCTAGAAACAAGCACAGGCAGGTACAGATAGAACGCTGCGCACAGGAGGTGGCTGCTCAGGTGAAGGAAGGCACATCAATTAAAATTGGACAACCATAACAAGTCACTTGCATACATCATCTCTGCCCAGAGCGAGTATCTATTTTAAATAAAGCACAAGAACAGAAAACAGTAAGTTTGCTTTCTTGGACTCACCCCTACGTTTAATAATGTGAAACTACAACACTGAAATGCGACACTACGCTTTTATCTGACATACAAAAATAATCTTCACCTGATGTAACATACAGGTGGAAGTGTCTCCCTGCATGCACTGCAGACCACAGCTTAAAATCAGTGTTTGAAATAAATGAGCATATTCGAACAAAAGTAATGACAAGCCTTTGAGTTTCACTTCATCCAACTTTTAATTGATTTAAGACCACGTAATTCTGTACATCGCAAAACTGAATTTGGTCTCAAGGTACGAGGAGTACTGTAAGTAACCTTTAACAGCTGGTTCAGAAGTTGAAAGTGGTTTTTAAAGATGTAAACATTTTAGTGTGCTTCAACACAATGTATACTCTTAGTTGTCCTTAGGCAGAAGAACGTATTTATGGTTTTTAAAATGAGAATTCATCGGTGCTGAATTAAACTAAGATAGTATTAGCCAAAAGGTATGGAAAGTAAGGACTGAGATAAAGGCAAGGTGATTGGGGAGTTCTGCTTCTGTGCAACGGTTTGAAGAAAGATCTCAACAGTACTTTAGGAAAACAGAGAAGTGTAGACATGATTAAGTTTTAAAGGAGGGGGAACCTTGAGGATACGCCAATCTCTGAATAGCCACAAACAGCACCCAGTTTCATGGGCTGGAAGCTTCTGCATTCTGAAACAGCTCCACAGCTCCATTTGTAAGTGCCACGTGCATCTCCAGAATTAACTCTGCCAACCTGCCATCAAATTTTTATACTGTTGCAGAAAATGCATTATCCCTTCTCACAGGTTTTAATGAAAAATGAAGAATAATCCAATTAAATACCTGTTCTATTCCTACAGTTTAGGTACTTGTGAATGTCCATTCGATAAAGTGAAAAAGGATTCCAAACGCATATTGAAACTCAGTACAGAGTACAGGGTAATGAAAATATATTCAGATAGTTATTGTAGCCAGAATACACGTCAGCATCCCAATGTACATTTAAACTTCTTCCTTAATTTCAAATCATCTTGATTTCTATTGGACAAGTGAGTAGATCACACTTTCATTATAAAATAGAAAAATACTAATCATTGGGCTTTTATCATTAAATACTTATCAATAACACTGCAAGTCTGTCAAAGGCAATTTGCAATATGCTACACCTTTAGCTGGGGGAGGGAACTACATATGATTAAATCTGATATTTAAATCAGATAGAAAAAGACAATCGAAGTGTTCCTAAAATCATGGCCTCAAAAAACAAAACAGCATTCAAAATGGTTTCACTTTTAAACGGAAAAATGAATACTTTGGGTTTGGTTGGGTTTTTTTAAACAAACATTAGGTTCCTTTTCCACTGAATTTTACAATTGTCCTATCAACAGAAACAAAGCCTTTGTTATTCAGACTGCATCATTACGTACCAATTTTATTTCTCACACTTTGGGAGACATGTAAAGCAAAAATAATCAACCCACTGGAAACATTTTCAGACAGGAAACCTGCATACATTCAGTAGCAGTAAAGTCATGAGGCAATACACGGCTACATAATTTACCAGTACACGTTCCTCCGAGAATAAGAGCCATTCCTTTGTCAGACATTGGGCCAAAATAATTAATATAGAACTTAGTGTTGTATCAAGCAGCTCTGCAAAACACTTGCAGTCTTTGCAAGTTCCATGTTAAGAGCGCTGAACGGATGAGGACCGAGGTGGCCGCACACCCGCAGCACTCCTACACGGTTTGCGTCGTCTTTTACAGGCAGTTCAACATGGTAAGACCAAGAGAAGCAGTGTGCAGCTCCAGTACGCAGAATCGAGAGCAAGGACTGAAGATAGAACTGTATCTGACAGTCATACAGCATTATAGTGACTACAGCTTTGAAGATATACACATGGATTTTAAAAAGTAAGAATTACACATTTTATACAAATAACCACTTCATTATATACACTCAGTGACAGTATAACTTGGGCAAGTTTGTACCACTGTTCAGCTGCTGTCTGCAGATGCTGGTTTGGTCTTGCACTTTTTTCTTTCTAGAATTTCTTCATCAAATATTTCTCTCTCCCTAAAAAGAAATACATTGAAGTTCCATAGTAAAAAAAAAAATCTTAACATTTTAAACAGTTTGCAGTGTGTTACAGTAACTCAGCAAGAATGTTTCCCAGGTTTAATTGTTTTGTTACTTAGACAATGAGAAAGCTTGCCTTACAGAAGGGAGGATACTGAACTCCTGCCCTTATACTCAACGCTTGTCTGTATAGACAGTAAACCAGTAAGAAAAATTCAGACAATACTAAAGAGATACCTTTTGCTCACAGATGGTCCTTTTATGTATTTCTCTTCTGCCTTCTTGTAATCTATGTCATCCACAGCAGAAATCGCATAAATGATGGCCTATAAAAGTATTTAGTTCATTTATACTCACGAAACAAAAGCTAAATTACAAGTGATTTGAAACTGTCTCAGTAGATAAGCCCATTTTTAGAATAAGGTTCCTCAATAGAAAATTGAGTGAAACTGCTTGTTGTGTACGTGAAGTTCTTAAATAAATAATACAGATTTGTCCTTTACCATTCCCAGGAGAGTATTTTTATAACCAGATTAAGATATTCTTCATAGTAATTTTGTTTCTACAGAAGTTACTAATGTTCTCCTAGGAAAGTTATCCTAACAACAATAAGGATCTAAAAGTGCAACTGTAAAAACAAACAATGCACCCCCCCAACACACACAAAGAACCCAAGAAAATCCAGAGATAACTTGCCAAATTAAAAGAAAACATCCAAAGCTTTGAAGAGTTTCAGAAGTAATCAAAATACACCAGAAAGCAATCAATCTGCCTTTAAAAACATCATACCACCTAAAGCTTCTCCATTCTGTGCTAATGGCTTAAAAAAATCAGCACTTAGAATTACACTGGTTCACCTCTCACCCCTAACCCTGCCAGCCCACTAATGCCAACATCTGCAGCACCCACAGGAAGCACACAGTGATTAATACTGGGGCTTTATTATTTATTTTCTCCAACATGTAATGTAAACATATTTGTTCTCTGATTACCAGCCCATGAACATGACTTAAGAGCCTCCTGCACTGATCTTAATATTCTTCACCCGAGACATACATAGAAACTACGCACAGTTTCACGCCCCTTGAGCTGAAGGGACCATGACGCAAGCTGGTAGGCAGGCAGGTGTGAATATACCTGCATGGCTCAAACATCACCCAGCTCCCAGGGAACACTCTGTGGTCATTAAACTCGAATCAGGTAACACTAGTGTTATTTACTTACTTCAACGTTTACTTTTCTCAGCTTTTCGTATTTACTTACTTCAGGCAAAAGGACATCTGAAATAAATTTTATTCCATCTCCACTTATTTGATGCAGATTTTTAGCATCTATTTCATGATACACTTCCTTCAAGTAGTTCACTACAAGGTCTAATTGTTCTTCATCCTCTAAATATGTTTCAATGCAGGTCACGTACTGCCTTGAATTCAGGAATTCCTTCAGCCAACGGGATTGTTTTCTGCTTTTCAAAATAGCCAAAAGATGCTCTTCAGCCCCCTTAGTCTTCACTATAAACTCCACTATCTTTTTATTCGCTTTATCTCTAGCGGCTCTTGTTCTGTCAGGAAGAAGTTTCTTGGAGGGCTTCTGAGGTGAAGTTTCTGATAAATACTCTTCAACATCTTCCTCTGCCACATTTGGAAAGGTCATTTGGACTAAACCTTGATAACCTTCCTTTCTAACTGGGTAACCTGAAAGAAAAGCCACAATCATTCATACTTAAATATACAAAACAACGCGCGCTCTAGCATACATATTTACATAAACAAATACAAAATAAGTGACTTCCTTGATAAGAGAGAAGTTTTTCTTCCTCCCCTACCAAAGACAGTAAAAAACCACCACTACCAAAATCTTAACTTTGCCTTAAAAAAAACCAAAAACATTAGGGAGTTGAAACTCTGACAGGAGCTCTGAAATGAACTCTCTAGAACGTGAAGTAACCAGTTACCCAGTTGTCTTTAACAATCAATATTTATTTAACTTTTGTTGTGGGACTGAAAAACCGTAGAGTACAATAATGGTGCGTAGTAATTTTAATGGTAGCCCCATGCTGGGTCTGATGCCTAACTCAACACACATGTGTAAACATTAGAGCTAAACTTGCCTACTAAGAGAGGAATATAAAAGATAATGAATTCACTTACTGATATCAGCAGCAAAATATTCCAAGAAGGATCCCGTAAAAGAATGACAACCTAAGAAGCCCAGAACAGCGTTATTTATCAGTTCAATTAAGCCTATGAAACAAAGCTGACAGTTTTGGTGTTATCTTTTTTCTGACGTATATCAGAATGGATGACATCATCCAACTCATCTACTTACCTACTCTAATTCGATAGTCAGAAATCAATCGAATACACCACTCAATTTCTTGGCGATAATCTTCTTTGGCTCGTTCCTACAAAAGAAGAGCTGTTTACAGTCCTAAAAAGAGTGGCCTATTAAAGCTCTTAGGTCTAGGACACTAACCAGGTAACAGAAACAGCTAACAATAATGAATCAAAGTTTACTTGCAGTTTTCTGCATTCTCCTGAAATTCAGCTTCTGCCATCACTTTGTCACGCACCATCAGAGTAGCTTTGTTGTATGCAGAAAACCCACAAGTGAAGGCACAGTAAGAGTCCTAAGCAACTGCCTGCCTTCCACATACACAGTATTCTTAGCAGCAGCCTCACTGAGATGGAAAAAGGTGTTGGGGGCTCCCCTTCCCATATTATTCTCCATCTTGTGGAGCACGAATTATGTTTAATTACTTTGTTGAATAGAGTGAGAGAGAACAGAGAACCGTGAACAAACCCAGACCAGCCAGCTGCACCACACTCCTCCCCCAGCGTCAGTTATACATTGTGTACACAACTTTATTTTTTCCAACACATGTATACACTTGCAGTTACATGTTACTGGTAGTACTTACTATGAGCTCCTGCTTTTCTTCACAGTCAAAGTGCTTCAGATTCTTGAGAGATACTGAGAAACTTGATGAAACAAAAGAAACACAGTTAGGGAAAAAAGGTAGTCGAGTTACATCTCTATTCACTACAGCTGTACACCCTCCTGAAAATTAGGTTTCATAACAAATTCATAATGCAGGTTTTACTAGTTTTGGTTTTCATAAGAAGCTAAAACTATGGAATCTTTTAACAAATGAGAAGTACCTGGTTTTAAAACAAAACTGAAGGCAGGCCTGCATTTCCAGGAAGTTTAGGCACCACACATAAAAAAAAAAAACCAACAAAAAAAACCCCACTAGCTGGGTCCCCAGCCCTTTTTTTTATTCCTCACACAAGCGTCAGCTGTTCACAGGAATGCCAGCCTGTCTCAAGTGGCAGCATGATAAAGCACCTAGCCCATATCTGCAAATCCTCACCTTACTTGGTCCCTCCCTCCCAGATCAACCTTAGTTTTAACTGACATGTAATTGCCCTGTACCAGGAAGAGGGTACAGGACACTGCCTAAAAGAAACTGAAAGTTCAGAACATGATCAGGATCCACAACATTTACCCTTTTTTCTTGTCATTTGTATTCCCTTCTATCAACAGCACACATGCCTTTCTGTGTTTCCGCTTCACATTTTTTACCTGTTGAAAGGATAAGGTCTCATTAGCATCCCAAAATCCTAAAACCCTTACAAAGCAGGAACGTTTTCCATCAATATTATACAGTACACCCCATACTTACAGGAAGTTACACAAATACAAAAAATTAAGTTTAAAGTGGCAAGAATAGCAAGTTACCCCAATGGAGCATTTTTGATAGTGCACAAGGACCCATACTCTTTCTTTTGTTAGTTGGGTACAACAACCCTAATTCATGATACAAGATATAAAGGCTCAGCAGTAATCCTCTGCTCCGACATAAACATGTGTCAATTAACCACATTTATTTTTTATGTGCTTTTGTCATACGTAAATTTACTTCTATTATCTTTGGAATGCTTGTACTGGAAGATCTTTAACATGTGCGGCTCTACACGAGTCAAGAAGGGCAAAAGACACTCAAGAACTCGGTAAGCTGCTCTTTATCAGACCCCTTGCAATATCACTCTAAGAAGGCAGCAAGCTGTTCTTACCACTGCTGGCCAATAAGGATACCTTCGCAATTTGCACCAGACCAAAATCCCTTCTTCAATTGACTGTGGTTCTACGATGAAAAATAAAGTAATTTTTCTTTGAAAAAAAAAAACCAAGACAAGACAGTTAGCTCACCCTCTCTTATCAGCCTCCTTTCAGGAGTTTCACTTCAACGCTTTTACAAGTTTCAACTAAGGTGACAGGGCCCCCCCCCACCCCCCCAAAAGGCAGCACACATAATTCTGAATACAGGAACTCAGAAATTTCAATCCTAGGCCCTTGCCCAGTTTCACAATGATTTGCATTTCATTCTGTTTCAAAATGCCTTTCTGGGGCATCCAAGAAACACATTTTATTCCAAGCTTGAACAAAGCTGGATTCACTTTCTAGAAAGGTTAGGTTTCATTGCCAAGGCTTGTCAGCAAACTAGAAGCACACATACCCTAAAAGAGCACACCAATCTTGGGTGAAGAAGTCTCATATAGGTACACTGATGTCTCACCTTGATGTGATAAAATACTAGGAAGTTCTTCATCCTCCTCCTCTTCATCTACTAGTGCTGAGATGCGATAGAGACTCTCTGAGGAAACTACCTTTGAAGACAGGTCAGACAATTCCAGTCCTGCCAACAGCAGCAAGCACTAGCATTCATAAGGGTGGAACAGTGATTAAAAAAGTATCAGCTTCCAACCAGGTGAAACACACGACCATGAAAGTGACCCCGCAGGAGGGTGAGTCACCGTAACACACACACTCTCAATTCTCTGCCTAGGTAAAGGCCTAATAGTCTGAATAAAAGATGAAAAAGGGAAAGCAACAAGAACAGGCTAGTTTCAGGACTCTGTACCAGCCTGCTCCTTTACATAAAGTCATTTCATCTCAGCACTGACCTGCACACTAACTAGATAGCAGTAAAGAAAAAAACCAAGCCACCTGCATGTGAAATTAGCAAGTCAGCAGTAACTCTTACTCTTTACTAGATAAGTCCAGTTTTTCAATGCAAAACCCTAAACAACTCCAGACAACCCAAATGCCACACTAGTTTTTAGCCAGTATTAAAGCAACTGCATTTTGTGCTTCTCCAAAACTTAAAATTAAAATCAGCAATTTAAGAACCTCATTCACAAAAGCAATGCAACATTCCAAGAGAACAACAGTGCTCAATGATCAAATGGGATGAGGTTTTCCCTTCCCCAAGTGATATGCCCACCTTCATCTTCGTCAAAGTCAGGCAGTTGAAACTGCTTTATTTTATTCATAACCACATGTGAAGTAGTCTTATTTTCCTCCTTTTTATGCTTATTTTCCTCCTTTTTATCAGAAAGCATCCCATGGTTAGAAGGCCCAGATGAAGATTCAGGGCAATTCCTTTTTCTGTACGAAGACATCGTTGCACCAATGTCTTGTTCTCCATTAATCCGTTTTAAACTCACTGGCTTTTTTCTGCCATCTAATTGTTTTGCTGGACTTTCGCTTTCACTATTGATGCCTTTTTCCAAGTTATCTGAGGCACTTTTACAAGAGGAATCCAGTAACGTCCTTCTAGGCTGACTTCTGGTGTTTGCCCTGCTGACAGGTACCACTTTGTCAGACTGGCAGGGGACAGACAGAGGAGACCCTTCCTCAGCAAGGGGATGTGCTTGATCCTTGGGGAAAACATTCCTACACAATACAGGTGATCCCACACCTCTTGGTCTTTTTCCTCCTTGCTTACTTTTTTCCTGCTTTGGCTTAAGTGAGACTTTATTTTCTGGTTTGGACTTTGTCAACGATCTGGGTTTGATTTTTTTCTGCCTTGGTAGTGATTTTGATTCTGGTACTTTGCAGTTTTGACTATCCAAGTCTGAGGTATTACACAAGTCCCCAGTACCACATATGGGAGGGTTTGTTCCACTTTCACATGCTTTAGCACTCTCCTCCAAAATGAATGAACCTTTCTGGTCTTGTTTTTTTGTATCAGTCTTCAGGCTGGGGTTATTTTTTTGTTCTCTTTTCTTCTTGGAAGTCTCAGGCTCCAACATTTCCTTAGAGTGAAAGAGCAATTGGCATCTACATAAGGAGGTAGGTGAGAGAGAGCCTGCATTGTTCTCCTGGGATAATGGAGTATTTGGTCCCTCCTCTGAAGGTGGTACTTGTCTGGGTGAGACATTTTGATTCAAAATATCCAGGGCAATTTTAAGAGAACAGCGATATTTCAGTTCTTCCACAGCGTCACTGGAATCATTCCTTTGATCTGATGAAGAACAACATGCAATAAATGCAATAATCTTCATTTGTACATAAGAAATAAGAAATTTTATTTATAGTATATCTTCTGTTTAAGATGCAACTTAACACTTAAATCATCTGTGATTCTTAAGAATATAGAGACATACAAAGTGCAAGATTCCAACGCCTAATTTTGATGGAAGTACACACAAGTTCTTTCACCATTCCTTCCAACACACTACACAAGGGAAGAGCAAAAGTAGCTGTGATAACGTTTAGTCTGTTTTCAAACTTTATGGATGGAATGGAAAGAGGGGAGAAGAAATGCAAAAAAAACCCCTCAATAAATACATAAGTGAAATATGTAACTACTGTCCCCCAGGTTGAGTTTCTGTGTATATTTTACATTCAGAATATACACAAGGCAGCAAATGTTTTGACATATCCTCACCTAAGTTAGAGGCAATGTTTTCTATACATGCTTTCTTCAGTGGTACAGCATCTGCACAGTTCACACTAATCCTGAAAATACAACAAAGCTTACTGAAAACGTCACAGTGTTAAGCACTATTAACCGCATGACACTGCTTTCATCTAGCAATAACTTGCAGTACTTTTTTTCCCCAAATCCCATACTTGTTAGCAGAAGGAAAAAAAAAACCACCACATGAAGAACGCCTGAGCTAACAGTCAGCACGTTGTTCATGGATGTTCCATGAGACAACTACATGGCCAGCTCTAAAAAGGCAATGGGTTTTGGGATAGCCATCTAATCCTTCTGTAAATCAATGATCTCATTTCACAGATATCTTCAGATAAAGGGATTACTTCTTTTTTTAATGTCTAAGAGTGCAAACATATGACAGTAACAAGGATACTTAACTCTTCTTTCAAGCCAAGTATTTCAACTTTAAAAGAAGTCTCCTTTGCATTAGTAACAGATATTTTCCCAGAAACTCCAGTTTTGCACAAAACCTACATTAAAAGAGAAAAACTTGCATTTAAAATCCTTGACCAAGTCTGTTAAGACTCTAGGACAGATCTGACATCAAAACATTTTCAATATGAACAGCGCAGAACAGACTGACATTCCATTGCATCTGGTTGCAGTATTAGGCTCTCTATAGATTAGCTGTTTTTTAAAGTATATACGTGTTTACTTGGAGCTCGCTCTTACTGCTCCATTTCATCCATTTCTAAGTTATAATCACAAACACTTCCTCATTTGTACATCTGCTTTACCTTTGCTGGCCACAAACGCTTCTTCCACATGCAAAGAACATACTCTTGATCTGTCATGACTGTGTTTCACACAGAAAAGGAAAATCCCAGCGTGCTCTGAAGAAAAAGCGAATAAAAGAGTTACCCAACACTTGGTCCATTTTTGTCTTCCCTTTTTTTTTTTAAAGAAATAGAGGACTTAAATAGAACACATTATTACAATTATGTATCATTTTACCTTCGAGATCACTGGACTGATATTACTTTGCAGGCATTCTCCAAAATTAAGTCCTAACAGTGTATCTTTCTATAGCTGTGCAACATAAGAATGTCTTAATGAACATGTAAGCGTAGAAAATACCATCACAAATAAATAAAAAAAATGCTGCTGTGGGCCTGGACATTCTGCAGCTCCCTGTGACCAAATCCTGATAACGGAGGCCACTTGTCACATCTGACAAATTATGCCACGCTGTGCCAATTTTTGTGTGTAGTTTACAACTATAACCTGCGTGAACCAGCTAGAGTCCTCCTGTGTTTCTTAAAGACTTGAAACGCTTTAAGAAAGACCCCTCAAGAACAAGAAAATCTTCCTGTACTTACAAAGCCGAAGACTCAAGTTTCCTCGGCACGCTGGAAGTCGGTCCTGCCACCGAAAGACAGTAAGAAGCAGATATTGCTGCTGCACTGAAGCACCAGACCGTGTGGGCCTGGGGCAGGGGCACAAAGCCTATCACTGCCGCGCCATTTAGGGAAACTATGAGGCTCCCAACAGCCCCCACCTCAGCCCGCTCCCCCTGCCCTGGCTTCCCCTCCCCGGCTTCCACCGCCTCAACAGGACCCGCCATGAGGAAAGGGCTGGGACGTGAGGAAAGGGCTGGGACGTGGGGGAAGCAGCCCCAGTGCCCCCAGCCAGGGTGTTTCCGGCCACGCTGAGGGGATGGACCGCCCTTCCTCACCCCCCACCCCCCAAGTTCCCCCCATGAGGGGACAGGCCGCCCCTCCTCGCCCCCCAAGTTCCCCCCATGAAGGGGACGGGCCGCCCCTCCTCGCCCCCCACCCCCCGAGTTCCCACCATGAGGGGACGGTCCACCCTCTCCCCGTCGCCGGTGCGAGGCTCCGGGCCGCCCGCCCCTCAGGGTCCCGGTGTGTGAGGGGGGGCCGTTACCGTGCGCGGGCCCGACGCGGACAGCAGCGTCGAACCCCCTTCCTCCATATCCGGCCAACCGCCCGCGTCTGCGCATGCGCCGGCCTCCCCTCCCGGCAACGACACAGCCAATCAGCGACCCCCGCTCGCGCTCAGGTCACCGCCTTCCCGCCGCCAAAACACACGCGCTCCGGCCAATCGAAGCGTCCGCTCCTCCGGTTGCTCCGCCCCCTCGACTTCTCCTTCTATTGCGGAGGGGGGGTCGGGGCACGCCCCGCCCCCGCTGCCGAGCGTCCCTGCCCACCGGCGTCACTTCCCCTTCCCGCCGAGGCGGTGACGTCAGGGCACCTGTGCGTCCCCTGCGTGTCCCGGGCGCCATGGCAACGGGGCCGTGGCGGTGACGTAGTCACCTCGGAGAGCTGCACTGTGACATCAGGGTGCGGCAACCGAGCTCCCCGCTACCCCCACCCCCACCCCGGCAGGCCCCAGAGGCCCCGCGGCCCCAGGCTCATCCCAGCCCTTCCGCCTGTGGGTTGCTCAAAGGCGCTTTTTCTAATGCAACCTTACAAGGGATTTGTCTTATTTATTTTTTTTTAGGTTAAATTACTTCGCAGGCCCAAGCGTCCTTGCGTCACACAGGCCCTGCTCAAAAAGGCTGGTGCGTATTTACACCAAGAGGCAACAGGCAGAACAAGTGGGAGGTCTGCGTCAGTGCTTGGACAACAGAAATCACCCCAGACAGGCAGACAGAGCGCACATTTAGTTGTCCAGAGTCTGGAAATAAATGGTGGTATGAAAATGGGCTAAAGAAAAAAAATCAGAAAAAAAAAAAAACAAAGGCCTTCAGCAAGCTGCTATTCGGCCCTGCCAGTTTTTAGCCCTTGTATTCTGAGAATAACAGTGAAAACGGAGCCCACGTTACGATGTTTGATACTTTATTAGCTGTCTATACTTCCTTATAAATACCTGCAATATTGGAAATGTCACCACTACACTGAAGTAGTAAGTTATTAAAACACATTCTGAAAACAGCATACAGACCAAAATGGCATCTCCTATTAGCTTTACTCCCATGAGTACATGGGTTTTTTTCTACCTTGAATTACTGATACTTGTAGAATAATACTTTGTTGACATAACAGAAGAGGCAAACTCCTTGGTTTTGCTTACAGTTTTCCCTCAGGTGCCTTCCATCGCTGAAGACACTTTGTTACTCGCTGTTACCTAATCGATACCTAACTTCCCATTATTCTGCAGGATCAGGAGTGGTCTGCAGGCAGGGCATCCTTACTCAGTGTTTTCCAGCATCAGTCCCTGCATCACAGGCTCTGGGTGCGCTGAGCACTCTGGCCTGGTCCTGCAAGGCGTTATTAAATAAGTATTTCATGTCAAAGGATATAAAATAGTCTTTTAAGACCCGGGTTAGTAAACATGGTCAAAGTTGGAGTTCTGGCCCCACTGGAGTAAATGGGGATACGTCACGGAGTGTGGAGGACAGAGAGCATAGGATAAAGCATAGGATAAAGACCGGAGTTCAGCACACAGCAAGGTTCAGCCCTCTATAGTAAAAAAAGGAGAGGAAACAACTGCCCCTCCTGCAAAATGCAAAGAAAAAGAAATAATTATCCCCTTGCTGAAGCATTCTCCCATGTTATCAGCGTTTGCTTTCTCCAGAGTAAAATCTTGCTGTGCACCTGCTTCCCCATTGAAGGTATGACTGTTATTAAAAAACCTGCACATTTCTGGTCGAGACCTAATATTTTTCCAATTAAAAAACCCCCCTGAACATCTGATTTCTCCTCTGTGTTCAGCTTTACAAGCACTCTAAACATAAATGAGCTTCACACGGTATGGGTCAGCCCTTACATGTAGTCTTTATGATTTCTGCTTGTGCTGTAAATAAATATGAAAGTTGTGTTACATTTGCTTTCCTGCCACTCTCACTCTGATTACAGCTCTGACCTGCTGACCTACCCTCTGTGCCGAGCTGGGTGTCTGTAATGGCGGCTTTCAGCTTCTGCAAAATTTACATTTTTGTTTGCAGCCTCTCCTTTAGCAGCTATTCGGTTCTCCATGCCCATCCTGGAAAAATGAGCCTCATGTACAAATTTCGTTCTTCTCCACTTGAGATTTTTTTGCCCAAACACGCTGTTATATACGTTTGGCCCAAACCGCGAGGGGTGCGGGTCATGGTCATCGCCTTGGGTTAGCAGCCCTCGCGCTGGATCACACCAGCTGGGACTGCGGAGCAGCCACCTGGCTTGCTGTAATCCCCCACGTGCAATATGGCTTTTCTTGTCTGATTACTTGTTCTGTATTAAAATCTGCAAATGCTTATCCTGTGGCTTGGTAAATAACTGCCTAAAAAATTGCTTTTCAAGAAGTTTGTCAACTGATTTCATTAGTCTTAAAAACCCAAAATATGTATAAACTCATTGTCCTCACTCAGGAAACAACAGCACCGTTACATGTGACAAAGTCTTACAACGTGCCGTAGAAGGAGTTGCATTGTTCTTCGTTAAAACTCGTCATGTAAATCATAACCTGGAATGCCAACGCAGAGGCCAGACAAGCCAGCATTCCCGGTTCATGACAATCCTACCATCATCATGTATCCACAGCGAGACTGAACGTGGGAACAAATGAAACTGGAGTGGAACAAAAGCACAAATCAAGCAGAGGTTGTCTACCGTCTAGAGATAATAAAGGAACCACTGGCAAACACTCTTTTTCCGGATAGGATCAAACAGCTGGGTTCAAAGGCTCCTACAAACCTTGTCTAATACAGCAGTAAACCTACAGCTGGGTCTTGTAACAGTGACTGTAGATGTAACGTCGATGGTCAGCGATAATCCAGACGCACCCTCTCCCCTAAGCCAGTAAGGACTATTTACAGGAACTTACAAAACTGTCATAAAGACAACTTACTGCCTTTGTAGGGAAGGAGAAAGAAATCCTTTTTCTGCTGTTTGCTCCTCCTTTTTAAGCCACCTGGGATCTTTTCACGCCACAGTGGCCAAAACTGTTAATTTGTCGGAAGACCAAGTCACCAGCCTTGTTTCCTCGGTCGGGTCCGTACAGACACACACTCACAGCAACCAGATACGACTGCACTGGCAACAGGACACTAAATAAGGATGTTCCACACGACAGACCACGGGCTCCCGACGCACACCTACACTCGGGGCGCTCCTGTCCCCCCAGGCTTCTCCCGCCTCTCCCCGTGCCAGCGTCTGAGGGTCAGTGGGGTATTGCTTGTCGAAGCCGTGGCGAGCCAGTGGCAGTGCTGAGCGCGTTAGCTCTCACAGCCGGCGCCGTTCACAGGAACCTTGGACGCGGTGGGGCAGTTGCTCCGGAAAGTGTCGAGGTCCTCGGTGGTGGTGGCTTCGGGTCCGGCAGTCCCCGTCCCCTGGGGCAGACAGGCGCCCCGGGGACCCCCCTGGCTGCGCCCGCTGCGGGAGCAGTCGTGGTGCCCGTGGTTGCCCAAGCGGCTGGAAGCCACCACGGCTTTCATGGCAGCCTGTTGCAAAGGCACAGCGGCATGAGCAGTTATTAGTGTGTGTTTGGCAGACTTCTCCCATTCGATGCCATTCCCGATGCACTCAAGCCCCCGGAAAGTGCAGAAGGGGAGACGGCACCCGCTCCTTCAGCCATGCTGAGCTGGAAAGCGCAGCCCTTTGCCTCGGACAAGGCTTTTCCCAGCAGCAGCTGCCTCCACGGGCAGCTCAGCTGCTGCTCCCCGGGGACGCAGCTGCGCAAAGAGCTGCTCTGTTGTCCTTCTCCCCCCTCCCCGAGCCAGCCCCCCGAGCTGCCATGTGTCACTGAACATTTATCTGCTCGGGGCAGGGGATCCTTAAAACCCAGTGACAGCAGCTCTCGGTGGCCCCAGCCGTTTCCATGAGGGGACGCGAACACGAGCCACCCCTGGGGGTTGACAGGGCTTTTTCAACTCACCTTCAGTTTCCGCCTGGCGTTAAATTCCTGCAGTTTCTTCTGCGTGCTGTCCATGTGAGCAAATTTAGCAGCTTTTCCAGTGACCCAGGGATGCTCCAGAGCCTGGTAAACGGTCAGTCTCTTCTGGGGGTCCAAGACAATCAATTTTCTGACCTGTAATGAACAAAAAGGCTTCCTTTGTCAAAAGCCCCTCGTTTTGTTATTTCACAAGCTTTGACCCAAAGGCTTCATACTTGGGCAGCCCCGAGCCCCAGCACTGGCTCTCACCAAATCCTTGGCGTTGAGGGAAACCTCATCCCACCACGGGGACACGAACTCGTAGTCGCAGGTGAGAATGCGGCTGTACATGTACTGGTCCCCTCGTGGGTCGAAGAAGGGCTCGAAGCCACAGAGCCTGCGAGGAGAAAGGAGGTTTCCCGGCTGCTCGTAGTGGGCTGAGGTGAAGTAAACCGTCTTGCCGCCGCGGTTTCACCGCCTGCGGGGCCCCGGCGGCGTTACTCACAGGATGTAGGTGATGACGCCCACGGACCACATATCCACTTCAGGGCCATACGGGCACCCGTGGAGGATTTCGGGGGCTGGAAGCAGAATTTGGGGTTCAAATGCACGGGTGTGGGGAGCTCCCAGCAGCGTGGCCACGGTGGGAACCGCACAGCAGAGGAAACACCTCCTGGGCACCAGCAGCGTCTCCCGAGCCCAGCACAGCCGTCAGCCATCCCTGCACTGAGCTGTGCGCAGCCTCAGGCAGGGAGCAGCCCTACCTGGGTCTTCCCCCACCACCCCCAGCTTTTCCCTCCACTCACCACAGTATCCCGGTGTCCCACAGACGGTTTTCATGGTGTCCTGTTCATCCACGATCTTGGAGAGCCCGAAGTCACCTTGGGGGGACAGAGAGGGGAGCAGTGCTGCCGTCAGGGAGAGGGACTGTTAACCCCCCCCTCGTGCCATGACCCCCAGGCCCCCTGGCAAACCCACCGATTTTAAGGGGAGCGTCGGGGGACAGGTCTGCGTAGAGCAGGTTCTCTGGCTTCAGGTCACGGTGGACGACTCCATTTTCGTGCAAATACTACAGAGAGAGAGAGAAAGCGGGGATGGGGGGGAGGAAGGGAAGGGGCAGGGGAAGCCCC